CTGGGAACCACACATTCTGTTTCTTCCATTCTTGCTGATTTGTTTCATTTTTCATTTCAAGTGTTTTATGGTCTGCCCGCTGTCCAGAGGGTCTTGTGGCAGTTTGCTACTCATAAAAAAGGAAAAGAAAATCGTACAAGTAAAATGAATTATAACTTACTTTAAACACACAGAGTAATAACCACAGTAAAACTGATGGAAAGGCACAAGGAAGAGGAAGCACCCTGGATCTTAAGTCTCAAATGCAAGAGTGAAATGCCAGATCTTCGCCTGGCACTGAAAGGCAGGTCATGGCAGTGCCAACCTGGCATCCAGGGAAAGAGCATTCCAAAACTAGCATGCCACAGCAGCAAAGGACCTCTCCTGTGTACCCACATACCTCTTCTAACCATGGGACACAGAGGAGCCCTTTCCTTGCAGATCTTAAGGTTTGACCATCGTGGGAGTCTCAGGCATTATTACTATTCCCACCCATATTTTGTACAACTCGGGGGTACATAATACTCCCACCTCCTCTCTTCTCCACAACAACCCAATGTGGTGGAGTGGCCTTAGAGGGAATGATTGGCCCAAAGTCACCCAGCCAGCTTGGATGCCTAAGGAGGGGCTAGAATTCAGCATCCCCCAGTTTCTAGCCCAGCACCTTATCTATATATGTGTCTTATTAGTATTAAGGCCTTGAGCATCATTACCACAAAAAAGGCCCATCAGAAATGCCTGAGCAACTACTGCATTTTTGTAGGGCTAATGTGAGGTAGCCTCTGAAGGATGCCGAGCATCAGAGATTTGCTGCCCATTCAGCAGCTTCCAAGTCATCTCCATGATCAGAACATGGATTACAATAGCTGAACCATCCTGACCTGGTTTACGTATCACATGAAGTTTAACTGTGGCATATTGAATAAACCACAATTGGCTGGGCTAAAGCATAAAGCTAAGCCTCAGACAAATACACCCCAGTATAGCTGGTATATGAAGCCAACAAATGGGTGAATCGGAGGACAAATAAGATAAGATGTTTATAGGCTTATCTGGAGTTCATGTGGCAAAGATACATCCAGAAGTGCACACACCAGAACACCTACTCCTCCTACCAACTTCACCTAGAGTGGTGAGAATAAGGAGCCGTTGGGCTAGAGGTGATTGGGTGGATCCAGAGGTATCTGTCTGTCTGTCAAAAAGTTGGGATGGTGGCCACAACCATGTGATCAAATCCTCGCCCTGTTATATCTGTGTTGTTATGCGCATAAAAAGGGGGTAAGGCTTTGATTGCATAGTTGTGGCTCCATCTTGACTTTGTTGATCCACCAGAAATAAGAGAAAAGGAAAGCAACTGGATTCCAATTCTATCCAAAGAAGAAAAAATAGGCTGGATCAAAGAACTTGCCTTTTTCTGGCACTCTCATTCCTCATCCTCTATTCCAGTGTTTCTCAACCTTGGGAATTTTAAGATGTGGGGACTTCAACTCCCAGAATTCCCCAGCCAGCTGGCTGGGGAATTCTGGGAGTTGAAGTCCGC